CAAGCGCACACAAGCACACACCCCCCGAGCCAGCTCTCTCCGGGTTCTCTTCCGTTTGGCCCCATCTCTGTCTCTGTCGCTACGTCTGCTTTTTAACGTGCCTTCAAGTTTTATAATCCCAAATTCACAGACCCGTTAGTCCATATACACTTGGAGATAAGAATTTGCTGACAATAAACAGCTGGCATTTTGACCAGGCTGCAGTGGACCTCAGTGTTCCTATGCAGAGAATGTGTATTTCAGTGCTACCCCCCGTGACACCACCCACCAGCAGAGACTGGTGGTCGCATCCTGATGGGTCAGTGTCTCCCCAGAGGCCGGCGGCCGTTGCTAATTCCCAGGCTGCTCATCAAGCTTCTTTCTTCTGGAGTCAGTGCAGTGTGTCACACACAGTCCGGATCTTAAGATCGGCGAGGTTGTTGAGGAACCTTTGCTCACACGTCTTTCCGTGGGTTCATCAAAGCCATTTGTGAGCCGCCGGCAGAGCTCTTGGTGTGAAACGGCCCCGCCGTCTTCTGATGGGTCCTGGGGGAGTCGGGATTTCTGTGCCGAGGCCTATTGGCACACGTCGGCTGGCTTGTCTCTTCCTTTTCCCATATAGCCTGACCCCTTCCTTCATGCTCCCGCCTCGTAGCTGTGGCTGTGACTGGCAGCCTCAACCCTGCGACCTCCATTCCCAGAGGGAAACCCTGGCTGCCAGGGTGGGACCCGCTGAGGTCACAGGGCAGCGTGCGGAGGGGCTGCCCTGGGCGCTGAGGGGCAGCTGGGGCCCACGGGGGCTCCTTGCCTCCCCACCGCCCTCCCTGGAGCCCCCAGCCCCTTCCAGCCTGTGCCCGAGACCCTGGAGTCACCCTGACCGCCCCCTTCTCTAGCCCACACCCCGAACCGGCAAGGCCGGCGGCTGTTTTCTCCAAATACATCTGGAAGCCACCCCCTTTCCCACCAAGTCAGCCACCTTCGGGCTCTCGGGTCCCTCAGAAGCCTGGGCGGCCAGGCAGGGCCGGACAGGGGCTCCTGTGGCTGCTGGTGATGAGGTGAGGGACCCCCGCCCCAGGGTGCGGGCCTGTGGGAGGGGATCCCAGGACTCGGTGCAGGGCCTGAGGACATGGGGCCTGGCGGCTCTTGGGCTCCTGACTTAGGCCCTGGAGCCGATGGGGGCTGCTCCATGAGGCAGTGACGTGTCACAGGGGCCACCTGCGGGGTCGGCCTCGAGACCACAGGCACTGGCCGCACCGGCCAGTGACCTCCGAGGAGTTGGGGACAGGAGCTCCGGGTGGGGTGCTGTCCCCTGAGACCAGGTCAGGAGGGGCAGGGCTAGCAGGGAGGGGGCAGAAGAGGTTTCTCTTTAAAGATGGGGGTGATCAGAGGCCCCAGGGTGAGCACCGAGAAGCCTCCAGGCCCGGAACCAGCCACTGGACAGAGCAGGTGCAGGCCAGGCCCAGAGGGGCAGCGCCATCCTATCCGTCACCCTCGCAAGATGGTCTGCAGTGGGCACTGGTCCAGGGTCTCACCCAGTGGGGTTGGGCTGGGGTCCAGAACTTTGTCCCACCCGCGGCAGAGTGGCCGTGCCTGCAAGGCCTCCTCCCCGCCAGATGCTGCCCCACCCAGCTGGGAAGGAGCCCCTGGAGCAGCGCGCTGGGCCTGACCCCCCGCCTCCCCACCAGTCAGCGTGCGGGTGACAGGAGGGTATCTCAGACACGTGAGGTTTTACGAAATCAGCTCCCCTGAGCCCGCTGTCAGGAAGCTACTGAAGGACGTGCTTCAGCAAAATGAGTGTGAAAACCCGAGAGGGAGTCGTGGGCTCGGCCCACGCCGACACGGGGAGGTCTGAGGCCTCCGATCTGAGGAAGGGCCCAGATTCACTGATTCATTCCCACCCTCACACGCTGGGCATGGGGCAGAGAACAAAACGGACGAAGGGCCGGCCTCTGGAAGCTCACACTCCTGCAAAGGAAGTTAGACCAAAAGAGGGCTCAAATTAAAATATCAAGTTTCAGCTCTGACATGGAAAGAGCTCAGAAGCGTCAGCCCTGTCCTTACAACAAGGAAAAATCAACAGGGTTTCCTGGACCCATTCCAGAACTGAGGTCACAGGGTAAAGCGCCACCCTGAAATCTGGGGGGACAGCTGACAACAGCATCCCAGGCGAGAGCAGATCCCCTGGAGCTGAGGCCATGGGAGCAGAACCTGGTAGGAAGCGTCCCAGGGGGCAGGGCGGCCCAGAGACATGACGCCTCCAGGAAAGAAGCCTCGCCACCCCCAGTCACCGGACCCCCGACCAACACGTGCGCTGGGAGCAGCTATCCCACCGAGCTCCGTGCGCACACCCGACGTCTGGCTCCGACCCCCTCTGGGCGAGGCCCACACTGACCTGTCCAGGCCAGGGCTGACGGACAGGAGGCCCCTGTGCTGATCATGGTGATGAAGCCGCTCTAAGATTCCTGGACGCGTCTCCTGGCCTCTGCACGTCGCAATTCTATGGCGATACCAAGAGTAGAGATGCAGGGACTGGGTGATAACTGGGCCCAGGGAAGGGACGAAGGGCATGTGTCCACACACAGCAGACGTACACCTAGTGCTCTCAGCAACCCCTACGAGGCCCGGAGGGGACATGCCCGGGCAGAGGGCTGGTGTCTCTACAGGAGCTCGGGGCTGGGCCAACCATCAACACTGTCCTCTGTGGGGGACACCTGGGGGCCCTTGTCCCCGTAGAGCACCCCCCTCCTGAGGGAGACCTGGGGGCCCTGGTCCCCGTGGGCGGCCCCGTGCACCACCTGGGCTGGTGGTGTAGGAGTCGCCCCACCTGCACTCACTCCTGAAGATGAGGCTGGATTGTCTTTTTTTTCCTAGGAGATTTGAAGCAGAGTTGATCTCATAAAATGACTGGAAGGTACACCTCCTTTCTTTCTGTCCTGTGGAATCAGCTGGTAATTAGTGTTTTTTCTACTTTAAATATTTTTTAGAACTATCCATTGATGCCACTTGTAATTTTCTTTCAGGAAGTTTTTTTTTAAGTTCAATTTCTTTTAAGTTATCCAGCAATTCAGATCTTTTACTTTTTGCCTGTTTTAGCAAAAGTGTGTTTTCCTTTTTTTCTAAATTCTCATCAGAACGTTGGCATCACGTTCTCTGTCATTTATTGACGTCGCCAACAGGCTCATTTTCAGTCCTGTTCTGGTGGTAAATTCCCTTATCTGAATTTAGTAATTTTACTAATTTAGAGAACCAACCAGTGGAATTCTTGACACTCTACTATATATTTCCGTTGTATTTGATTAATTCCAATCTTATGTTTATCACGTACATCCATCTATAATTTAAAAGTTGATTTTTTCAGTGTTTTTTCTAGCTGCTAAGATACATATAAATATGTCCTTATTCCAGCCTTTATATCCTTTTCTCAAATTCGTACCGCCTCTCACTTTTCTTCTAAGTCACTACCCCGCCAGCTCCCAGTTACGTTAGCTGCTGCCCAGTTTGTGCGAGCTGTACTTTCACTGTTGTTCAGGACTCCCGAGGGGGACCACTGAAGACGGAACAGCTGAGAACCTTCCACGATCAAGTTAACGACTCAAGGGTAAGCGGCTCCAGAAGCAGAAATGAACCGAAACCCGGCGTGGCCCCGAGTGGTGGGGGACGGTGGCCGCGGGGACCGTGGCAGGTGGCGAGTGTGGAGCGCGACACAGCTCCCGCCCCGGGTTCCGTGCCCACACCCGGGCGGGGACGTGGGCAAAACCGAGGCACTTTCCCCAGAAGTTTCCCGTAAGCGAGCGTTTGCCCTCGCAGGACCCAGGGAGGAGTCCAGGGGCGAGAGGCCGAGGGGCCGAGGGGCCGGAGCTGGCGGCCCGGGACCTGCTGCGGCAGGTGGCAGGAGGGACACGCCCCGTCCCCGCCCTCAGGCCCCCGTCTGGCAGCAGCTGCTGAGCAAGTGCAGCCACGCATCCCAGCCACGCGGTGCGGCCGGACGCACGGGCGCGGCGGGGCTCCCGGAGGCGGTGGCGTGACGAGGACAAAGTGGTGTCGCTGAGCACGTCCCTGCGAGCCTGGAGCCAGCGGTCTCTGCCGCCCCCAGGGGCCCGGGTCCAAGGCCGCCCGAGGGCGGAGGGCGGGGGTGGCAGCGGCCAGCACTCAGGCCGCAGCGCCCCTCCTGCGGTGACAGCGGGGCTCACTGGGCCGTCCATCCATCCAGCCCCACGGCCACCAGCGCTAGGAGAGAGGAGGACTGACCCCGCCTGTGTCCCGGTGAGACGGAGCCGATAGAACAGATGCTGGACGTGCCGGCTCTTTCTGGGGCTTTTATTTCTTTAAAATAATTCATACAAATGGTTACGGTCACAAACATGATTTTAACCAAAATATTGCTAGCCTACCACATCAGCAGGACGGCACCGCGCGGCCAGGCGCCGCAGCCCCGCCGCCCGGGACGGGGGCCCACGCGCTCCTCTGCACCGCTAGCGACGCCGTCTTCATTTGGAACAGGAGGGGGTTCATGCCAAAGTTAGGAAAGACAGCCTTTGTTTTGTTTTTCTAAATTATTCTAAAAATAAGACAAGCAGGTAGAAAAAACAATGCACTGTGTGGCGTAAAAAGAAAACGGGAAGGTTTCATTGTCCTGAGAAGTTTGCCAACTGCCTGGTTCGGGATGCGATCCACACACGAAAGGGAGAACGTCTGAAGCAGACCCGCTGAGCCCTACCTCGGGCTTCTCCTGCCGACAGCTAAGCAAACAAATCCTTTGCGACGTTCTAAAGACTGGACACAGACGGGGACACTCATGATAGAATTAACTACTGACTCTTCCGCTGCTGAGCGGGGACGCAAAGGACACGGCAGCGGCCGGCCCTCGGGACGGGACAACTACAGCTGATGCGGGGAGAGGGTGCCACCTCTCACCCCTGGCGCCCGGACCGTCCCGGAGGCCGTGGCCGCCTGCGGCGCCGCCCCTGCACACGCCTGTCCGAGGGCTTGGCCGGTGCCCAGGCTGCGGAGCTCTGCCCGGGCTACAACTGGTCACTCGCATGGTCTCTATCCGCCTCGGGCTTGACGGTTTGGCCAGGAGAAGGCGCGTGGGGTGGGTGGGACACGGGGGGCAGGCCGTGGGACAGGGACATGGCGCTGGGGACGATGCCTTCGACTGCGGCGGGGATGCCGCTGGGGGCCACGCCCACGACGCCTGGGGGGTACCTGCTGGGAGAGAAAGGAGGCAGGTGAGGCCAACAGGGCAGGACCCCAGGCTGCTCCTGAACGCCGCCTGCTAAGGGACGACGTCGTCCCACTCCCTGTGTGGCCACCACCCAGACAGACGGTCTCACGTCCACCGGGCCCTGAAGGCCACCCCCGCTCACCTGTAGGCGGCCCCGTTGAGCTCGGGGTGCACCACGGCCGGGTCCACGCTGGCCCAGTGGGTGGCGGCCGCCAGGTGGTCTTTGTTCACGCAATTCTTCAGACTGTCAGGGATCCGGCCTGGGGGACGCCGGAGAGACGGGAGGGACGGCGCCTGCGTCAGGCGGCTGCCACCAAGGGGACCCCAGAGGCAGGGGCTCCACCGGAGACACGGAGAGTCGCCACAGACTCGCTCCCCTTAGGCACAGGGGGTCCTGTCTGGGCAGTGTTGCCCTCAAAGCTCGGGGACCCCCAACCCCAAGCAACCGATCTCAGCTCAGCAGTGCCCCCAACCCCAACTGCTTGGCCAGGGGGTTTCAGACAGAAGCTGACAGGTTTACACGTGTAAGTGACTTTTTACAAGGTGGAGGAAACACCCCACGAGCTGGCACCCCAAGCAGGACAGCCAGCGAGCGCCACACACGCGACGCGAGGGCCTGGGCTGCGCTCGGCCCCTCCGTGTTTGGGGTCTGCCACGCCTGGCCCCGGGCGGCCCGTCTCCCTACCCACCCCCCTACCCACCCCGCAGAAGATGCCGCGGCCTCGGGGCCCCCGCCTGGCGCACCTGTGACGGCTCTCCGGATCTCCCGGGCCGCCTCCTCACGCATCTCGATGGAGGCCTGCTCGCTATACCAGGCCGCGTGTGGGGTGCAGATCAGGTTGGGTGCGTCCTTCAGGGGGCCCTGGCTAAAGCTGCACGGCACACAGGAGGTCAGAGGCCCTGCGCCTGCCCGGAGCCACACCCCACCCTCCATCAGACTTGGTGGCTCCCTCTGAAAGACAAACCTGCCCACGGGCTCCTGACTGCAGTGGGGAGGGGCCTTCGCTGGGGGGGACGCTGCCCGCCCCTCCCTGCAAGTGGCTGTGAGCTCTAGACCCCAGGCCCTCTGGACACCGCTCCATCCTGGAAGGGTGAAGACCCACCTGGAGCTGTCCGGCTGCCCCAGACGGGCGTTTCAGCCGTGAGGCCTCTGACGTGGCCACATGGGGGCCAGCCGCCTCGTGCCCCCGGCCACCCAGCAGGACGCCTGGTCTGAGCCCTTCCCACCAGGTGCAGGGGACTGGATCGTCCTGGCCCACAGTGGTGGCCTCCCCTCACTCTGAGATTTGGCCAGGGAGGAAGGTCTGCCCCACGTGGGATCTCAGGCTCCCTTGTCCTCGGACCCTCAGCTGCCCGAGGCCGGGGCCTGGAGGCTGTGCGTGGGCATCGGGGCCCCACTCCCTCGCGGCACTGTGGCCACCGGGTCAGACGCAAGCTAGTGCGGGCCGTAAGCTGGGTGAGCGCCGGCTCGGGGACCCCAGGGCACCACCGGCAGGCACCTGAATGGCTCCGACTCGTGCACGTCCAGGGCCGCACCGCGGATCCGCCCCTCCTTCAGGGCCTGAGCCAGTGCCTTCTCGTCCACAAGGCCGCCCCGAGCCGTGTTCACCAGGAAGGCCCCTTGTCTCATCTGGGAAGACACGAGACAGTGCGGCCTGAAGACGCTCCCCTGCCCGTTCAGGGAAGTGGCTGCCCTGCTCCTCGGTGAGGGATTCCTTGTGACCCCTATTTCACCCCAACTAAGCCCACCCCGTCGTCGGGCTCCGGTGGCCGTCCACCAGCTCGGAGCAGCTCGTGCCTGTCCGGGCCTCACTGAGTCCTCGGGGACTGCACAGCCCCCGGCCACGCCCTGTCCCCCAGAGGCCCAGACCCACTGGGTGAGAACCAACGAAGGTGCCCGGCCTCACCCTCTCCAGGGCTTCAGGAGCCTGGGGCGGACAGCAGGTGAGGCCCCAGGCAGACACACTGAATGTACACGCACGCCCACCCACACGTACACGTGCACACACGGACGCGCATGGAACAACACGTGCACGTGTGCGCACACACCTACGTGCACACGTCAATGCAGGCGGCCACCCCACGCTTAAATACACGTATACACAGGTGTGTGTACAAGCCCACGTGCACACACACACGTGGGGTGGGCACTGTTGGCGAAGCTGACCCACCCCTACGTACATACGCTGTGCACGCCTGCAACACAGCTCTCTGCGCACGCAGGCACTGGAAAGGCCCCGTGCCGCCGTTCGGGGAAGAGAGGGCCCCGTGGCAGGGCCTGCGCGGCGGCCGGCAGGCATGGCGTCGGGTGGGGCCCCGGGCCGCAGACCTGTTTGACGGTGAAGTCGTTGATGAGGTGGTGGTTGTGCTCGTTGAGGCCGCAGTGCAGGGTCACGCAGTCGCTGTGGAAGAGCAGGTCCTGCAGCGTGCTGACCCGCTGCAGCCCCAGCGCCCGCTCCGTGCCGTCCGCCAGGTAGGGATCGTAGAACAGCACGTTGAAGCCAAAGGCCTTGGCCCGCAGCGCCACCGCCTGCCCCACGCGACCTGGGGGGCGACAGGGCGTCACCACGGCACCCCTCTGGCCGCCCCGCCTCCGTTCCCCGTCTGCCCGGGGTGGGCCTGAGGCGTCTGCTCCCAGAGGCCCAGCGGCAGGACGTGCGCAGGACGAGGCTCTGCGGAGAAGAGGCGGGGCTCCGGGGGTCTGGGGAGCACCGACGGGGGCCCCGCGGATACACGGGGCGGTGAGGCAGGGGCTGCAGTGTCAGGACAGGCCCCAGTGCCCCGGGGGCCGAAGCCCTCTGTCCTTGGCTCCCGAGAAGACAAAGCAGGGATGCAGCAGCGTAGGCCGGGAGCTGGGGGGGGGCAGGCACGCCAGGGCCCTGCGCTTGGGCCCACGGGACACTGTGGAGGCTGCTGAGGCGCCAGCGCAGAGGGCCCAGGGAGGACGGGCACCCGGTGGTCCTGTCGACCAGCCACGGTGCCAGCGCCTCAGAGCCGTCACTCACACTGCCTGCTGGGTGACACTGGCACGAGAGCCCCCGCGCGGCTGGCCCCGCCTTAGGCCACTACACCTACGACGTCAGTCCCCCGTTCCAGGGACCAAAAGAAACCCGAGGAGGATTTTTCACTTTTATGAAAAAAGGCGAAAGCGAAATTGCGTTCAGCGTGTCTGGCAGGTGCCGTTACAGAACCCCTCTGTCCCCGGGAACCGCACACCATGTCTCAGCGTGGAGCTGCCGTGACCACGGCCTCCACGAGCGACGTGCATCCAAAGGCTGCTGCTCTTTCCTCTACGGCACTCGGGCCACAGAAGGTCTCAGGGGGCCGCTCTGCCTTGGGGCGGTGGGGAACCAGAACAGAGACTCTCGGAGTCCCGAGGGGCGCGGGGAGGGCCCGTGGTCCCCAGGGCCGCCGGGCGCTGGTTGAGATGCAGTCTCTGGGGCGTCCCCACCGCACTGAACGTCTTGACCGACACTGTCTAGAGGTGGCTGCCCCAAGCCCACTGGCCAGGCACAGCAGCTCCCCATCCTGGCTCCTTCCTCCCGGCCTGCAGCACACCGCACGGGCCGGGCCATCCCTGCCCTGCTGGGAGCCTAGGTGCCGGGTGCAGGGCACTCACAGGGCTACGGGGCTCTGGCCAGCCCTGGCGTCTGTGTTTGCACATCCAGCAGGACAGCAAGTCGTGTCGGGGAGGGACACCCCTGTGCCCCACGGACACCCGTGACCCTGACCCCCTGCACTAATGCAGGCGCGTCTCTGCCCTGCAATTCCCCCACGGCTGCACGAGGCGGCACCTTTGCCGTGGAGAACCTGTGAGACAGCTGATGGGGCCGCAGGAAGCTACAGTCCCGCCCATGCTGGGTGGCCCAGGTGGACGGGCAGGCCCCTCCCGCCACACTGCCCTCCCCTGCTTCCCCAACCCCTAAGGCCCGCACCACCCCAGCACCTCTGCCCCCGGATCCTGCCTGCCCCCCCACCCCACATCTCCATTCCCTGGTGTGCTGTCTGAGCGCAAGGGGCCCAGGGTTGGCGCAGGACACCGGCCTGCAGGGCATGCGAGTGAGCGGGTGAGTGGAGGCAGCAGCCTCCGTCCACCCAGAGCAGGGCTCTGGGCAGCCTGCCCGGCCACCACCCAAAGGCCTTGTGCATTCAGTCGCAGGGCAGGGGAACTGCAGAGTGAGCGTGCGTGACCACATGAGCATGTGTGACCCCAAGAGCACCTATTTAACACCTGTGTGTGTGCATGGGCCCCACTAGGTGTTCCCGGGGTGGAGAAGGGCCAGCACAGTCTCTGGGGCAGAGACTGTTCCCTGGCTGGGCCACCACGTCAGGTGGGGGCACCTGCCAGCAGCACAGCCTCAGGGTCCGCAGAGCCTGTGCACGGGGGCAAAGGCCATCGCACCTAGCCCGATGATGCCCAAGGTCTCCCCGCGGATCCTGGCGGCTCCAGAAGCCACCTCTCGGATCTGCTCAACACTCTGGACCCGCGTGCCTTCCCGTAGTGCCTGGTGCAGCCACGTGGTCCTGCGGTACAGGTTGAGGATGTGGCACATGGTGGAGTCGGCTGTCTCCTCCACGGACGCGGCCGGCACGTTGCAGACGGCGATGCCTGCGGACACGAGATGCGCGGGGCAGTCACTAGAACGGTCCTGGGCCTCACGTCCCTGCCCCAGGGTGCTGGGAGACAAATGCAGGTTACCTGCCCCATGCCACGTGGGAAAGCCACCCACGGGTCCAGTGGGCAGACAGGGTGGGGAACAGAAAGAAAGAGGGGCCGCCTGGGCAGATGCCCACACCTGCTTCTGCCCCTCCTGGACCACTTGCCACTGGACCTTCTGGAAAGGGGTCTTGGCCAGGTCACACCTCCCCGGGCCCTGCCCTCCTCCCACC